TCAGTGGCAGAAATTATACATGGAGTAAAATGTAGACAAACCCTCTCCTTGTCAAGTTGGATTGGGTCTCCACTTCTTTTTCATCGGGTCTGTCCTTCCCAGCCACCACTGTTTAACCTCTATCCAGTCCTATTTCATATCATCTGCCTTTTGTCATAAATATTGGTAGCAGCATCCCAAAAGCTTCAAGGTTCAGGTTTGAAAATTATTGGGCTGAACACTGTGACTTCAACAAGATTGTGGACCTTCACTGGCATAGCAATCCCTATTATGCAAATGCAGCAAAAACTCTCTCTGCAACATTCAAACAGCTTAGAAAGGGGCTAAAGACCTAGAGAAAAAAATATTTCCATCTTAAGCAAACTCATCCATAACAACAATTGGGTGCTTCTGCTCCTAGATATGGCTTGGAAGATCAAAGGCCCCTTTCTCCCTTGGAAACTTCTTTCAGGCTATTGGTTAAGAATCATTTGGCTTCTCTCTTAGAATCCAAGAGAATTTATTAGCAATAGAGGAACACCATCCGGTGGGTGAATCTTGGTGATGAGAATACCAGCTACTTCCAGGCCTTGGCCACCTACAACTTTAACAGGAATTTCATTTCAGCTCTGGTTGCATCTGATGACACAATTATCACTAAGCATGATCAGAAAGCTGGTATCCTCCTAGAGGCTTTCAAAAGCAAGCTTGGGGTCAGAGTGTTTTAGGGCATATCCTACAACTTGAGTTCTCTCCTTCAATGCCAGAACTTAGATGATATTGATGATGAATTCAGTCCTGATGAAATTGCTCTAGTGATAAAAAATTTGCCCAATAACAATGCCTAGGTCCAAATGGCTCCAAAGGATACTTCATCAAAAAATGTTGGGGGATTACTAAGCAAGAGTTTTTAGGCTGTTTAATGATTTTAACAGCTCCACCTTGGATCTCAGTAGCATCAATGCCTCTCACATAACTCTCAATCCCAAAAAGTCAAATCCAGATACTGTTAATGACTTCAGACCCATCTTCCTCCTCAATTACTCATTGAAGGCAATCACTAAGACTTCAGTCAGTCATTCAGCGGCTCATACATGTTAACCAATATGGTTTTATAAAAGGTAGAACCATCCAGGACTGCTTAGGGTGGGCTTTCCAATTTCTACACCTCAATCATCACTCAAAAAACGAGATAGCGATTCTGAAACTGGACTTTGAAAAAGCATTTAATAAAATTGAGCTTCAATTCATCCTTCAAATCTTGGAGCATAAAGGGTTTCCTAGCAAATAGATAAACTGGATCAAAAGTGAAACGATCCATGTTGGTATATTTAATACACACAGATAAATCAACAAGCGCACGGATACCGATGTAGCTTTCACCCGGAGGTATTCCAAGTATCGTATCCACAGGAAAACGTGTGAGGTTAACTACGGTCCAACTTATCCCGGAGTAGCAATAAGACTTAAGAAAGTTGGGAGTGTAGATGAGATCGCTAAGGTCTTCTAGTTCTAATCTCGATAAGCTATGTCTTCTATGTTCAACTGGGGATATTACTATAGAAAACATAGACAGAGTATGATTCCTATAGCAAAACTGTCCTGCTAGACCTACAAATGGGAGGTGGACTACAAAGGATTCAATGAGGTTATAAGAGTCACCCTCACGAGCTACCACCGATTCGGAATATAGGGTACATCCACAAGTAACCCGGTCTAAGCACCACGCTTACACCTGCAATTACTACTTTAACCTATATGGTCCTATAGATTAAAGCACTCAAAGAGCTATGAACCAGATGAACAATATAAACACGATGCTTACTTAAATTAGAAGTTGATTACCAGAGAAATCTCAAACGTAGGTTAACTTCCGCCAAGGTACAAGCCGTAGAGAGAGCACCGACAGGCCGGCATCTCCTCCAAACTCTTCCCTCACTCTCCATCTCTCTATTTCCAAAGACTAGATCCTATGGAGATCTAATCTTCTCTTGATAGCTAGCTCTGATCCTCATGAGGAGAATATGAATTAGGGTTTTAGGATCTGCTTCAGGGAGCAGGGCAGGGCCTGGTTATATAGCCCTGAGCTTGCAACGTGAGCCCTTGGATCAAACCGACTTAAGCAATGGCCTAGATGCATCCTCAAAGGCGGCGGGAAACCGACCCTCGAAGATGGCTGACAGGTGGGCCTAGGGGAGGCTGGCGGGCCCCACCTGGTGGCGTCTCGCCCTCAGCTTCAGTGACATGGCTTCTGGGTCCTTCTAGAGCCTTTCCACATAGGTGCCGCGGTGGAAATCCGTATTTTCCTTCGACGTTTAGGTCCTCCTTGGCGGTTTTCAGATTAAACCCTACTGGAAACACAGATTCACCAAAACTCATAGAATTTATTAGTTTAAACCCCTAAACCTTCATTGGTGATTATATTTATGCCCTTATCCTGTTTAATTGAAGGCTTATATTGGTTGTTAACTACCGTCAACAATCCACGATTTCCTCGAAGAGAAATCCACAGATACAAACCATAATGTGATAGTCTCAGGAGATCACGCCATCACATTATCGAATATCAGTCGATATCACAAGTCACACATTGAATACCTGTCTTAAAGAGTACAATAGAAGGGTTTACTCATTATTACACCGCCAGTTGGCAGAATCACTCAGAGCACACAACATCTAGAACAGCATCAGAAGGCGCTTCAGCAGGCGTAGACTCCATTCTCCTCGGGCAATCTTAAGCGTAGGACAAGAACCTCTAGCCCTCCCAATCGTTGCCCTGGTAGTCATACTCGGGCTCGTCACCTGCTGAACAATTATCAGTATAATTTTTACTGGCCACTGGCTCCCACCCTATGCTTTGCGTTTGCTTTGTGGTAAGTGGTGTGCAAGGGTAGAGCAAAAGACCTACATATGGCTGTAGTTTTCCTATACAAGTTCGTCAATGTTTTATAAGTAATTCTCAAGTTTTAATCCACTTCTATCCATCCATCCCATACACACACATCCATAGATCTCACCACACTCTCACTCTCTAGGTGGCAAGGACAACTCCCTCTCGTGCCTTGCCTCAACGGTTAACAGCCAGAACTTGATCCAACCCAGGGGGAGAGAAGGAAGGACACCTCTCACTAGTCAAGTGAAGTGAGAAACATAGGAAAGGTCCATAACCGTAAAGGAACGGCTATGTATCAATCGATAGACCAAAACTCTACAGAGGTTTACACTAGGACCCACAAGATTACCATCATCGGCGGTGCCCTGCCTAGGCTGATTCCAGGCTGCTTTACAAACCAGTACGATACCACCCTCCCACTCAGCCCTGAGTCACCCCGGAGTCCACCGGCACGCTGAGACTATGAAACGTAGTATCGGACCTCCAAGGTCACCATGCGGTCTCAGGCAGGTTAGAGGATACGCCCTTACCTCCCTACACTATCAACTACTACCTAGCAGTAGTGGTATCGCCCTAGCCTGATCACATTCGTCCCCCGCCTGACCTGGAGCGAGTGGTGTGCAATGGTTCCAATGAACCAGTTCTCTCAGCATATTAGTCCTTAGGGGGACCAGACAAGACATCTTCTCATATGGGGAAACCCAACTCCCGTGCATTGATGACACCTCCATTGTAGGAATTGACCCACGAAGAGTCTCCTCCTCGGAATCTACTCAGCTCATATGTACCCGCCACAGGTACCTCACATAGATGATGCTCAGGTCACACCCTCCCGGCAAGACTCGTCCCCAAGACTCATTGTTGGTCGACTCGACCCTCACTACACACCCAAGACACACGCCAAGATCTCCCCATTTTAGTGGCACCAAGTGCCTTAGCCACTCATAAACATTCCTCCACCAAGCATCACATCACTAATATAATGCAAAGTAGAAGCCAGTAGTAAGTAACAGCGAGCATCTAGCCTTACAGCGGGTGTGCAGGAGTAAGATTGCGTTAAGGTATAGGCTTCAAGCAATACTACCATGCAACCTATCATAGATCATTTACAGAAAGTAAAGCACTAGCATCTATATAATTGCATGTCTAATAGGATTCTGCGAGGTTAGGTGGGACATGGCACCTGCAGCCTGGTCATCTCTGAGCTCCTCCTTGTACTCGTAGTCCTCCTCAAGCTGTTGCTCCTACGGTGCTGCCAAACGAGACATATAACTGCATTAAATGCCTCCTATAGATAGTCAGAAAGAAGCAATAGAAATCCAAAAGATCCAAAAGCACTCAAACACAAGTCTATAACGTAGAGCTTATTTTTAGAAAAATTTAGATACTGGTTTCATATTTTTTTGAGATCGGATGAATTTCCTATGAATTTTCTAAGTTTAATTCATTTTCAGAAAAAGAAAAAGAGCGGATAAAAAAAAGGAGAAATAGCAGAGGAGAAAAATAACAAAGAAAAAAAGGGACATTATGTTGTCAAGCGGCTTTACCAAATCAGTTTCGATTCCTTCTGTAGAGCTGATGGTAAAGCTAAAGCCAAAATGAGTTGTTCCACCTCAACTTGCTGGCGGGCTCGTTCGCGGCTGGCCGCTAACCCGCCTCGCTTGCCACAAAGTTTATTAGCGGGCTTGCGGCTTGCCACAAAACCGTGGATCTTGCGGACAAGTGTTCCGCGAACACAACAAACTTGTATGCAAAACCCGCAAGACCCGCAAGACGTATAGTACATTCCCTCATGCAATCTTAATGAGAACAATGTCGATATCAAGCCACTGCCGTATGAGAACATAAATTTAACTGGAACCAAATTAATGCTTGAGCGCTGATTTCCTTCACCTTCAGTTGGTCTTTTCTTTGTCGTCTTGTAGAAAGCTAGAGCTTCCAAAGCTAAATTGTTCCATATGGAACTTTATTACTTAAAGATTGACCCAACCAGAAAGATCAACAATAGCACACCATTTGATTGTCATTTTAAGTAATCTAATATTTGCAGGATGTATTGCTTATAGAGGGCCAGCGGCATATACAAATATAGAGATGATTAGCTGAAAACAACATCTCGGTCAATAGCTCACACATCAGAAATCAAGAGCCCTATAGCACGCCTGGACGAAGCATGACACTAGGTTTATAATAACAAAAACTGAAGTACAATAACAATCGAAATTATCCTTACCATTGTATCATCTTCTCCATAGTGATTGCTCTACCCAATTGGGAAAATATAAGGCATGGAAGCAGAAGGGAAAACACAAGCTGCAGCAAACAGTGAAAATGTTATATCTATAATTTGATAAAGCGAGAAAACATATGAGCACAATGAGATCCCCAACTACTCCACATATTCCTACTTTGAACAAATCCAGCTACACTTGTCCATTACGCAACCTTCCATTAGCTAGCTTTGATTACAAGAGAAGAGACAAAGCTCACCCCATTGAGAAGCTTGCGGCCGTTGGGCTGGAGAATGTTGACGTACTTGGAGGCCATGAGGAACCCCATGAAGCAGACAGTGAACACCTTGGCGATGGGCGGTACGGCATACTTGAGCATGCTCAGCACCGACGTCCCCTCAGTCCCTCGCGCCGCCGTGGCCAGCACCTCCAGCTGCGACCTCTCCATCATGGCTTGACCGATTGACCCAGACCTGACTACTGAAGCCTTCTTTTCCTTGCCTCAGGATCCAGTGACCCGCGCAACCAGGACTCTGCCATTATTTAAGCATGACTTAGAAGGCAAAACATATAGAGGCAACATCAGGAAAACTCTGGAACTGCTTTTGGCGCTGGTTGTTCAGGGCCACCCAGCTGGAAGAGAGGAACGCGCAGAGCCCAACTTACCGGATTCGCGTAACACAATAGAGAGAATTCCTTATTTGACACTGGGAAAATGAGTCATTCCTTTCTTGGCCCTGAAATTTTCTTCGTTCCCTATTTGACACTCACTTCAACTTTCGTTCCTAATTTGACACTGCCGTCAAATCCGTTAGCTAACGGTGTTAACTGGCCGTTAAAAAGACGTTTTTGCCCCTAGAAAAAAAAAGCGGCGAAGCAAATTTGAGAGGAAAAAAAAACCTGCGCCTTTTTTTTGTAGCTGGGCGCATGCATCAGAGGCGGGCGCAGGTTTTTTTTCCTCTCAAATTTGCTTTGCCATTTTTTTTCTAGGGGCAAAAACGTCTTTTTAACGGTCAGTTAACACCTTTAGCTAACGGAATTGACGGCAGTGTCAAATTAGGAACGAAAGTTGAAGTCAGTGTCAAATAGGGAACGAAGAAAATTTCAGAGCCAAGAAAGGAACGACTCATTTTCCCAGTGTCAAATAAGGAATTCTCTCAACACAATACGGCAGGCAGCTTCCCCCGAAGCGGAAAGCTTAGTAATAACAAACTTCTTGTTCGACGAAAACAGACGCATCGACAAACCAATCAATTCGGGAAGAGAAATTATGACTAACTAGATTCCAAACAACTGGCAAGCGCAGCCAGTGCGGTGGCTCGAGCGAACAAACTTCTTGTTCGGCATTTCCATCTGCGCCAGGACGAGCTAGAAGGGAGAGCTGAGGACAGCAGGCGAGCGCGGCCAGCGCGGTGGCTCGAGCGAGTGCGGGCGAGCGTGGACAGCGGGCAAGCGCGACCAGCGAGTGAGCATGGCGGCGCGGCCGAGCGCAGCCAGCTCGGCCAGCAGGCGAGCATGGACGCACGCCTGAGCGTAGCCTGCCGGTGGCATAGCCGGGGCGGAGGCACGGCGACGGCGCGGGCACGCGACCTGCGCGAACGGTGAGCGCAGCCTGCGGCGGTGCGGCCAGCGCATACGGCGAGCGTGGCCGGCGCGGTGGCGCGGCTTGAACGGGAGGGCCGGTAGGGTTCAGAACAAGCCGGCAGAGAGAGCAGAGGAGGGTGTTGCGGGTCTTGCGGGTTGCTGCGAGGCCTCTCGCTCGCCTAACGGGCTTAGAGGGTTGGAAACGTTTGGCCCATGAAAAAATTGCAGCCGGTCCACGACAGCCACGAAGCCTAGTTTTGCGGGGCGAGCGGGCGGGTTACGTTAACAACCCGCCCCGCCTGCAACTTGACTTAAAGTACTAGTGGCATAGGTTTGTGTGACCTTGCTTATAGAATTGGTTAGGCGAGCTCTAGCAAGCCCGGCACCTTTGTTGCTTAATTAGTATCTTTGGAAGGTGCTAGAGAACATATATAGAGGGGTGTAGTCTTGGCTAGACCAATAGTTATAATTCCGCACTTGTTTCGGTTAGCCGACGCAATTAATTTTAGAAAGGACTATTTACCCCCTCTAGTCCGCCACCTCGACCCTACAGCTATGCCGGGCACTCCGGTGGAATAGGGAACTACATCGGTGCCGATCGAGTTCGCCTCACCTCCAAGTGACATCACTGAGTTCGTGGACGCCTTCCACGAAGGTCAGGAGGTGAGGTTTCGTAGGCTGGACGACATCATCGGCGGCACAGGGCCCTCAGGCCTGGCAAGTAGGCTGCTCAATAACCCAGAGCTGCTACTCGTCAGTGCAGAGGAACCACCCATGTTCGCACTAGCCGAGCACGTAGCGACGGGCGATGCTGGAGAAGATGAAGGCGATCGAGGAAAACAAGACTTGGCAGCTCGTCGATCTACCTCTAAGATGTCGTCCGATCAGCTTAAAGTGTGTACAAAGTCAAGCGGAACGAGCACGACGCCATTCTCAAGCACAAGGTGCGCCTCGTCGCCCGAGGCTTTGTCCAGCGTGAGGGCATCGACTTCGAGGAAGTCTTTGCGCCTGTAGCGCGCATGGAGTCTGTCCGTTTGCTACTAGCTTTGGCAGCAGTAAAGGACTGGCGCGTCCATCACATGGACGTTAAATCGGCCTTCCTCAACGGCGAGCTGGCGGAGACGGTCTTCGTTAGGCAACCTCTAGGTTTTGCCGTCAAGGGAGCGGAGCACAGGGTGCTCCGACTACGCAAGGCGCTCTACGGGCTGTGGCAAGCCCCACGAGCGTGGAACGCCAAGCATGACGCCACGCTAGGCGAGCTTGGGTTCAAGAGGTGCGCAACTGAGCACGCGCTGTACACACGACGACGGGGAAGGAGGAGCTTGTCATCGGCGTGTATGTGGACGACTTGATCATCACCGGTGCATGTGCGGAGGACATCAATAGCTTCAAGCGCGAGATGGCGGCTCGTTTTCGAATGAGTGATCTCGGCATGCTCTCCTACTACCTCGGCATTGAGGTGAGACAGGAGGAGGCGGCACTCACGCTCGGTCAGAGCGCGTACGCCTTGAAGTTGTTAGAGCGGAGCGGCATGGCTGAGTGCAAGCCATGCGTGACTCCGATGGAGGAGTGGCTGAAGCTGACAAAGGCCAGCACCGCGATGAAGGTGGATGCAACACTCTACCGAAGCATCGTCGGTGGTCTGCGCTACCTAGTCCACACGAGGCTGAACATTGCGTTCGTCGTGGGCTACATTAGTTGCTTCATGGAGGATCCCAGAGAGGATCACTAGGCTGCGGTGAAGCGGCTACTGCGCTACGTCAAGGGGACGGTGGATCAAGGGATCATCTTCCCCAAGACCGGCGAGAGTAGGCTGCAGCTCACTGTGTTCAGCGATGCAGACATGGCGGGGGACATTGACGGATGGCGGAGCAACTCTGGCGTGCTCGTCTTCCTCGGGTTGGCTCTAATTTTATGGCTGTCGCTGAAACAGAAGGTGGTGACCCTTTCTACGTGCGAGGCAGAGTACGTAGCAGCGGCCACATCGGCGTGCCAAGTTGTGTGGCTACGCCGGCTGCTGGGCGAGCTAACCGGCGTGGAAACTCACCCACCAGCACTGATGGTAGACAACCAGCCCGCCATCGCCCTCGCGAAGAATCCGGTTTTGCACGATCGGAGCAAACACATCGACGTGAAGTTTCACTTCCTCAGGGACTGTGTCGATGGAGGGTAGATCGTCATCGAGTTCGCCAAAACTGGTCGGCAACTCGCAGACGTCCTCACCAAGCCGCTCGGACGTCTTCGGTTCACGGAGCTGAAGGAGATGATCGGCATGGGGGTGCAAGGATTAGCAGTAGGATTAGGGGAAGAATTGTTAGATAATCTACTGCTACCTTGTATGAACACACAACAAGGGAAGGCGGCACCGTAAAAGGTACCCTACTGTGTTACTGTAGCCGTTGCAGGGGTAGGCGCCGAACGGCTCACCTGCCGCACTGTAGCCATATGTAGGGACAGACGCAGAAGTCAGTCCTGATGTGTTATCTAGTCACCGTAGCAGCATGACAGCTGTACTAGGACTAGATGGATATAGTTGTATATATAGTTTGCCACTGCAACTCAGTAAAGAGAGTTTAGATTTGCCATCTCCTACACAGGGCTCCGGCCAACGCTGGTGTCTCTGCTGTGTGTGTATACTTTGTTCTCCCTCACTTCTTCTACCTCTAGCCATAGTATGTGGTCGGACAACCTTTGTCATGGTCGGCCGTGCTCGACAAGACTGATGAGTGGTCGACTCACCTGAGCCGGTGATCCTGTGGGCTAACAGGCAATTCCCAGTTATGCAATTTTGTGTTTTGACATTACAAAATAACTATGTGATGAAATAAGCACAACAATTTGTAGATTCTGGTGGGCATAGCAAGAGAAGGAAAACAAACTTCACTGGGTCTCGAGGGAGAAGCTAGCTAGCTGAAAGGAGAAAGGAGGATTGGGATATAGAGACTTGCATTTATTCAATTTGGCCATGCTTGCTCGTCAGGCCTGGCGCTTAATATAGAATCCTGATTCTCTATGTGTGAGATTGCTCAAAGCAAAATATTGTCCAGATGGAAACTTCATGCAAGCTTCTGAATGTCCTGGCATTGCGTATACATGGAGGAGCATTATACGCGGGTTCAAAGCTCTTGAGAGGGGGCTGGTCTGGAGAGTGGGTGATGGCACACAAGTGTGCATCTGGGAGGACCCTTGGACCCCCTGCGGGGTTACTCGACGACCGATAACCCCCAGGGGTAATGTGCTCCTGTCAAAAGTCTCCGAATTATTTGATCCAACTACAGGAACCTAGGAAGCCCAACTAGTGCGAGACATTTTCTAGGAAGAGGACGTCACAAATATTTTGACAACTCCTATAAGAATGGGGCGTGAGGATACCATCGTGTGGCATTTTGATACAAAAGGAACCTTCTCTGTAAAGTCCTCTTATCCTGTGCTGGAAGATGGGGAGGAAAGAAATCGCAAACACCAATGTGGGCAGAGCAGTTCAGGTGGAGGATCAAAGTCAGTCACACTGAAATGGTGGAAGAAAATATGGAAATTACAGTGCTCTCCAAAGATACAACAGTTATTTGGCGCCTGTCTCCCTCTGAAAATGAATATCAAACGCAAAGGCATTGATTTGGATACAAAATGTCCAGTTTGTTTGTGTCTTGATGATGGAGCTCACTGTTTTTCTGAAATGCAAAGGGGTTCGGGACTACTGGAGATGGCTGCAGATGGCATGGAAGCGGCTCGAACTACTCTGTTAGAAGCACAATCAGGCGAAGAGTTCATTCAGAGGCTGTTGCAAGTTTGAGGTAACTTCATCTACAAGAATAGCCACCTTATTATGGATGTGTTGGGATATGAGAACAAGGTGAATGTGGG